GCGGGGCATGCCTTCAAGTCAGTCCTGACTCTGACAACTGCCTGGACAAGTCCCTGCAGTTTTCTTGGCAACGTTTTTAGGAAGTGGTTTGTCCTTACCTGCTTCCTAGGGTTCAGAGAGAGTGACTGGCCCAAGGTCACCCAGGTGGCTTTGTACCTAAGGTGGGACTAGAATTCACAGTCTCCCAGTTTCTAGCTTGATACCTTAACCACTACACCAAACTGGGTCTCCAACATAGTGGAGATTTTCCAACTTATTTTCTAACATAGTGCCCTCCATATGTACTAACCTGGAATTCTAGGAGTTGAGGAAGTGTTTCAGAAAATGTGATTCTGAAGTCTTTCCAAACGTCTGTCATTGTGGTGATACAAAACTCATAGGAGGAAGGTAAAGAAAGATCAGATCTAAACAATGTATGTAGAAACACCAGAACAGTGGAAGAGCTATAAGTTAAATGGTAATTCTCTAGGAGGTAGAGAAGATTGATTGCAGATATTGCTTCTGTATAATGGAAGGTATCTGTGAGGAGGAGACTGGTATGGGAGATCAAGGCTGTCAGGAGGGAGGTAGTGCATTCCAGAAAGGGGGATAAGGCAAGCGCTTTCTCAGTCGGCAACAAGACCGTGAGAAGAAGAAGAGGTTTAGACTAGCCCCTCCCTAGAGTATCACAATATATCCACTGTAGTTGTGGTTGCTGTAGTGTAGAGTTAGTCTGGCAAGATTCTGTCTAGAGGGTGTAAGCAAATAAAGGACCTGTACTGGACTGAACTGTTTCATCGTTGTTCTTGGGCTGAGCCTGACAATCTTCACTAGATTCACATGGAAAAGGAATGTTAAACTACCTTTAAAGCTGGGAGGCAGGGGCACTGTGGGGATCCTCCCCCCGCAAGAACATAATCACCCCAGTAGGCTACTGATCTAATAGTAAATCTGTAAATATTGTACATTTCCAAGGTAATTTTTTTACCTTACTAAGGAAAATTATAGGAGAAGATGGTTCATAAATCAAAATGACTTCTGCATTATGCAGCCTGCAGTAGTCTGGACCTGCCCCTGGCTGACTAAAAAGGACATCTGAAAATCGTCACAATTTCTCTTGAATATTCTGCTGCACAACTCATTGAAATAAGTGTTTGTTTTAGTGAGATTTACATGCAAAAAGTTCTTAGGGTTTCTACAAACCAGGTTAGCAGTGCATGATAATCAAATATATCTGAAATCCATCTCTGCCTTGGTCACATATAAAGTGGGGGTGTGCAGGGGAAGGTAGGAAAACTCTACTCAGTCTGCCTCTTTAAGACATTTTTCCTTAGCCCACTTTGCTACTTGAAATGAGCTGGAGAGGGAGAAAAGGTTTAAAGTTGCATACCTACATAGTGGCTAACACTAAAACAACTAACAACTACTCAGGGAGGCTGCACATTTTCCTCTCCTTGTATTATAGCTCTATGCCACCCCCACTGGGTAGCTAG